TTTTTTTTTTTTTTTTTTTTTTTTTTGCAGAACCAGAGATTGAACTCAGACCCTTGCGCTTGCCAGGCAAGTACTTATTCTACTGAGCCATCTCCCGGGCCCAGTATTTCACTTTTCTGAATGCTATTATAAAAATTATAGTTTCTCTAATGTCTGCCTCTCAGTTTGTTGTTTGTGTAGAGGAAAGCTACTGATTTTTAGGTATTGACTTTGTATCCAGCTACACTGCTGAATTTGCTTATTAAATCTAGCCGTCCTTTAGTGGAGTTTTGGGGTCTTCCATATAGAGAGAGCACCATGTCATCCACAAATAATAATAATTTAACTTTTTTCTTTCCTATCCTTATTCCTTTTATTTCTTTCTTTTGTCTAATTGCTCTGGCTAATGTTTTCAGAACTATATTGAATAGGAGTGATGATAGTGGACATGCTTGTCTTGTTCCTGATTTTAGAATGATAGTCTTTGTCTACAGTAAACTTTCAGTTTAGCATGATGTTGGCTGTTGGTTCTTTGTAGCTGCATTTTATCAGATTGAGGTAAAAACTTTTCCAATTTTCTGTAGGTTTTATGACAAATTGGTGTTGGACTTTGTCATGATTTTTCTGCATCTGTTGAGATGATCATGTGATTTTTGTCCTTGGCCCTGTCAATTTAGTGTACTGCATTTATTGGCTTGTATATGTTGAACCATCTCTGCATTCCTGGGATAAGCCCTACCTGGTCTTCTTAGTGATTGCTGCATTCTGGTTTCTTAAATGTCTCTCAAGTTGAAACTGCTCACAGACAACTGGCAAAGCCAAAGCCAATCCCTTAATGGAGCATTTTACTTTTAGGTAGGCCTTGAGGAATTTCAAAAAAGAGCTCTGAGAAATATCAAGTCATGTTAAAAATAGTTTTGTCCTGCTTGCTTTTGTGGTCCTGAGGACCACGTGTGGCCTCGCACTACTAGGCGTGCACTCTACCCTGAGCCAAACCCCAGGCCCATCATGCAGCACCTTACACAGAGCGGACACAGCACAAGGAAGTTAGCTTTTATCAATGAAATATGTAGACAAATTAAGACTCCATGTTCCTGAAGAAGTACAAGGAAAGCACTATCAAACCCACCGAAATTAAATAACATAGCGTTAGGGCATTGATGATAATCTAGAAGAATTATACTACTAGAAACATTGTTTTTCTTCCCTGTTCTTCAGTTCCACTCTTTGACGTCTAAAATAACATTATCAAAAATAAATTAAAATAACATGATCAAGCAAACACCTTCAGAAGATAAACTACAATTGAGGTAGGAGGATCAACATGAGTTCAAGGCCAGCCTGGGATACATAGTGAGCCCCTATATCAAAACAGAAACAAAACACTGAAATGGAAGATAAACTAGTGCTCTGGCTTGAGTCTAGACGTCCCCTGAAAATCTCATGCAGTCATAGGTGCATGGTGCTGGGATCAATTCAGGGTGCAGTGCCGGGATTAAGGACACTAGGATGAGGGTGTGAGTGCTCCCTGCCCTAAGGAGCTTGGATGAGATATAAGGGATAGAAGGAGCCGTGGTCATCTCCTCCTTGGTGTCTTCTGCATCCTGCCTGCTGAGAGCCGTCTCTCCTCTGTGACGCCCTCTACTGCACTACCCTGCCTTGGAGCCAGCCAGTTATGGACCGAAACCTCTACGAACTGTGAGCTCAGTAAGCCCTTTCCCCTTTAACTATGGGTGTCATGTGTTTTGTCCTAGCAATGAAAGAAAAACAACTAAGACAACATGGGTAGAAAAAGATTAAGAAATTTGGTTGTAAAGTATTTCCACACACCAGATGCTAGTATAAAATGTGGAGGCCTAAGAATCTTATTTCCAAAGATCTCTACTTATAAAATTTATTTATTTATTTATTTATTTTATTTTTTGGCGGAACCGGGGATTGAACTCAGGCCCTTGTGCTTACCAGGGAAGTGCTTATTCTACTGAGCCATCTCCCCGGCCCCATAAAATTTATTGAATAATATAATATGGCTCATTCTTGGAGAAATGATGGAAAGGTAGTTTACTGTTATGTCAAACTTCTAATTTGTTTTGTTTTGGGTTTTTTTGGTGGAACCAGGTATTGAACTCAGGCCCTTGCCCTTGCCAGGGAAGCACTTATTCTACTGAGCCATCTCCCTGGCCCCAAACTTCTAATTTGAAGGCACCAAGAAATCCCAAACATCAGGTCTGCAGATGATGAGGTGATTAGAGGGTCATAAAGTTGAAAACAAACTCAAAGTGCAGTGGAACTTGTGGATCTACTCATAACCATTGTGCTTAAACTGCCAAGATCGATATTGCCTTAGTCCTGTTTTTTATTCCCCAGTATCAAAGTGATTGAGATGGCAATAATTAAATTAAAATTGAAAAAATTTAAAAGGTTATTGATTCCTTCATTAAGCTAAACACAATCCAGATATTTAGTAAAATACTAAAATTACTTAATTCCTGAAAATTTATACTATCCCAGAAAGAGAGACAGAGAGAAAGTGAGAGACAGAGAGAGACAAACAGAGAGACAGAGAGAAAGAGACAGAGAGAGAGACAGAGAAAGAGGCAAAGACAGAGACACAGACAGTCACAGAGAAGCAGAGACAGAGGCAAGGAAGAAACAAAAAAAGACAGAAACAGAGACAGAGATTGATTAGGCTCTAATATAGAAAGCTATGTACAGCTATAGTATTAAATGAGCAAAAATATTTGCAAAATATAATCTACATAGCCTAATTTCTATGAAAGTGTTTATACACATATTTATACATGTATATTAAAAACTTGAAAGACTGTTTAAAGCTTACCAGTTTTTACCCTGGAGAGGAGAAAGAGGACCATTCAAAAGGACTTCCACTCTGGCGAGCACAAGGGCCTGAGTTCAATCCCCAGTTCCACCAAAAAAAAAAAAAAAAAAAGGACTTCCACTTGCATATTGCTGACATGTTAAAGATTTTAGAATTAGAATTATTAATTTTGCACAAAACAATAGAAATATTAAAATTTTACTTTGTGGGAGAGTGGGATGTTACCCCAAGGAATTCATTTTACTTTTTAAATTAATTTTATTGATATATTTTAGATGGGAACTCATTTTATTTTATTTTTTACATATTTGGTACAGAGTCTCACTATGCACCTTGGTCTCATAGTGATCCCGCTGTTTTCAGCCTCCCCAGCACTGGGATTACAGGCATGCGCCACCACACCCAGTCTTGTGGCTGGCTCAGCGGGCCCAGGGCAGGGCCAGCATGGCATGTGGTGCTGGGAATTGAACCCCTGTCCCTCAGCTTGCCTAAGCAGGCGCTTAGTCCGCTAAGCTATCTTGCCTGCCTGGGAACTCATCTTAAATCAGCTCTTTCTTTTCACACAAACACTGTCCTAACCTGCTCAGCCTCCTACAGGTTTTTCCAGCCCTTAAGAATTCTCTGGTCAAGCAAATGCTGGGGACTTCCCACTGTTCCTTCCCTGGCAGAGCCTCAGCTCTCGGCCTGGGTCCACCTGTTACTGCCCTTCTGCAAGCAGACAGCAGACCCAGAGTTTTTCGTTACGGACCCAAAGCTGACCTAGCCCTTCTCATCATAAGGCTTGGGATTCCAAGAAAGAACTGCTCAAACGGGTTCCAAGTAGACAACGTTATCCAGCTAAAATGCTGAGGCATCACCCCTGACTCACCTGACCTGGATAAGCTAGACAATGAAATAGATGCACAGTTATGTTCTGGCGTGGGCTGACAGAGGGCACCTGGCCAGAGAGAGTTCAGGAAGAGCTTATACCGGGAGCCAGCAAGAAGGGTGTGGGCCTTAAAATAGAAGACGCGCACACAGGGAGCGTGCTAGAGCCTCCGAGGAGCACCTGCGTGGCAGCAAAGTGGCCTTTGCTCCTTGGTGAGTGGAAAGGACATCTACTCAGAGCAGTGTGACGAGCCTTGGCTGCCCTCCAGCTTCCAGTGAGTGCTTAAATGGGTGGCATTCTCAGGCATCGTTTTCTGATTTTTGAAATGCCACCCCTTCTTTGAAACCCAAATACCACCTTCTTCAGAAAACTTTTCCTACATAAACCTAAATGATTTACACGCCATTTGTAGCAATGTAATAGTTTATTAAACTATATCCTTTCATCACTTTACTGGTCTGTAATTATCTTTAGGGAAGAAATCATGCTTTGTTTTTGTTTTTTATTTATTTATTTATTTATTTATTTATTTATTTATTTATTTATTTTGTGTGTGTGTGTGGCCAGCTCAGCCCACCAGGGGGCGGGCCTAGCCAGCATGTGGTGCTGGGGGATCGAACCGCGGTCCCTGTGCTTTGCTTGGTTTAGCTTGTTCCAAGTAGGTGCTTTAGACCACCGAGCCACCTCACCAGCCCCAGAAATCATGCTTTGGTTTGCAATATTTTCCACAATGCCTAGTGTGAAGCTGAGAATGTCACATGTCTTCAATAAATAATTGGTTGACAGAAAAGTTAAAAGGAAAAACACCATCAGGCTTCTTGTAGTTTCCTAACCTTCTTAATAGCTTAGACAATACGTACCTGCACTTCTTCTCGAATCAGAAGGTCTCAGCTACTGGTACCTTTCCTCTGAGCAAAGGTACCCTGAATGCAAATCCCGAACCAAACGCTACAAAGAACAACTAGAACGCACAGCTCCCGCTTAACCCCCCGGCACCAGTTTCTGTCTGTGTGGGCGGGGGCAGTTGGTGTGGTGGCTGGAGAGGAGAAAGAGGAAAGAGAGGCTGCAGCAGTGATTATGCGGAAGGGATTTGCTGGGTCCCCCCTTCTTTGTCCTCTTTCTCCTCGTCCCCTTCTGCATTTGTCTGGGAGGATCCTGGAGTGTTCTTTTGATCGACTCAATCTTTCTCTGGCTCTTGAGTTCTGATTGGCTGAAGGACTTGGGGCGAAAAAACTTTAATTAAGTAGATAATCTCTTTTTTGGACGTTTGGCAGCTCCATTTCACCTCCCCTTAACTCTGTTTGGGATCGCTTACACACAGGGAAGTTGGGCTGAGGAGAATTCTACCCCTCTGCCACTGAAGAAAATACTTCCCATCTTCTGTCTCCCAATTCTGCAGAAGTTTCTCTCTGTTACTCAGAAGATTATGTTTCTTATGAAGCCTTCAGTGTGCATCTTTCTTTTCACCTGTGTCTTCCAACTCAGCCACCCCTGGTGAGTAACCCGGACTCCTACCTGGGACTGAGAATAGGTCAGCGAATATTATATATGGGACAAAGCTCATGTTCATTTCCAGAAAGGTAAGAGGCCTTGAGATTTCTCCTGGGAAAACTGTCCTAGGGAACAGGGCTCCTCCTAAATTGATGGCTGGTTTCAGTAAATCTTTAGGACTCTCACCAATGAAAGGAGTAGATTAAAATATGGGAGGATCCTTTGTATGAATTACTGTGACAAATATTCCAAGTGATTTTTGCAGAAATGGACAATATCCCTGTGTACCAAACCCTAATATCAGCATTGTGGACAAGAGGAAGTACTTTAAAATAGATTCTACTATGTGTTCAAGGTGAAGTCTGGAGAAAAAATTTGAATTTGTATTTTTCAACTTAACTTCACCTTCTCCAATATCTTAAGTAACTGTTTGTGCTGTCACTTCCTAGACAGTGAAAATATATTTGAACTACTAAATTGGTATTTGGTAAACAAATATGCTTGAAATAAAATATTTTAAAAATCTAAACCTCTACAAATGCATTTAATTTGTTTAATTCATTTTTTAAAAAAATTAAGTGCTCTAATATTAAGACAATGTACATGAAAGTGTCTTTGCAAAGCATGAAGCATTGCATAAGCCATAGTATTATCCTCCTCATTTAGCTCTTAGAAACCTCATACAGCAGCAGTAACGAGCAGGCATACAATAACATCCAGAAGCAACTTGTGAAAAGCGTTTGCTAGAGTGCTCAGAGTGTCCCCAGCTCACGTACAAGTTCAACCTCTCGCATCAGTTCGCATTTGCCATCTACTTCACCAGCGTGCAAATCCAAGTGCTTCGTAAAATGTCTGGGAAGCTAGAATAGAGCGTTGTTTGTTTTGTGCTGAAATATGCTTCCTGTGCTAATTGGGAGCATATTCTTATCATAAGTGAGACTAGCCATCTTTAGTAGAGGGTTGATTTTAAAATAATGTCAAACTAGGAAGCTATCTGCAAGTAAATGCAATAATTTGTGACATTTCCAGAAGCATGAAATAACTGGTACATTTTTTAAGTGTCATTTTAATTGAATATTTCAACACTGAAAAACTCCTTCTCTCACCCTCATGAGAACAAAAAAGACAAAAGAGACAAGCAATTTCAGAGCATTTCTACTGATGCTCATGGTATTCTTCAGCTGATTCAGCATCAGCAAAAGAGAACACGAGATTCCTTTCCCTAGTCAGCAGGGTAGTGGGAAGAATTGCTCTATAAAGTACCTTTACTGTGTGTCCCCTTCCCTGCTGAAGGGGTCACGTTCACTTCATTCCCGTCCTGACACAGCCACTCTGAAAGGTGGCTGGGCTGCTTGTCTGTCCAAATTCAAGTGTCTGGATTCAAAAAGAAAAAAGAAAAAGGAGATGTGAAAGAAGTTCTAATTTAGAGACAAGGTCTCAGAACCCCCTCTTGCCTTGCCTGAGTTGGAGCAGAAAATGTGCAAATTTCCTGTGAATGTAATTAGATTTTAATTGCTTTTTCTTGTAAGTTTCAATTTGAATTAAACATTTGTACTTTGTCCAAGATTTTGGGGTTTTGGTAGCATCTAAAATGTGAGTTTTAAACTTAATACCAAGTCTTGCTTATTCTTATAATGAAACAATTGAGGTTTTGCATAAGGTCATCACCTCTTTGTGTCTGCAGAAAGGTTTGACCAACCACAGCCTTTGAGATGTTGCTCCTAACACTTCATTATCAGCCTTCCATGCAAGGACCTCAAAAACACTTAACCACAGAGAACCACACTTTCTGCTTGGTTGTTCAGATGTAGGCCTGCCTGAAAGAATCCAGCAATAGCAATTTCTGGACCTGAAAAGGACTGTATAATGATGACATTTACCTGCAATATGTGGTTTTACAGAGTGTAAGATTAATAGTTATTATTAATAGAATAATTTGCCACAGCTTCTTAATGGTAGGACACTTACAAGGATTATCTTTTGTAACTGGAGAAAAATATTTTTCTTTGTTTTTCTTAACCTTTATTGGCCCCTAAAAAACAGAATGGGGGATACAGCCAAGAAGACGGTAGCATCTGCCATGTGGCCAGAGATGAGCCGGTGTGACATTTCCCTTGCGATACGTGTCCTGACCTGGGATGGGTGGGCCTGTGCATTGCGTTATCCTTGAACACCAAACCCATTTTACTTGAAATGATGTCTTGTAATGTTAGAGGCTTTGTCCAGCTCTGTCCCTGACTCTGCCCCTCTGTCTCTCTTGTCTCTTGTCTGTCTGTCTCTCACTTTCCCTCCCTCTGTCTCTGTGTCTTTGTCTCTTTTTCCAAATCAGAAAGATGAAGTAGGATATAGAGGTAATCTATGCCTTATTCTTGTTCCCCTTTTTCTTTCCAAGGTGTGTATTAGGGATTCAAACAAGGGCAGTTTTTCTTCTGCAGGAGAACAAAAATTTGTCTGAAATATTTGGATTTTTAAGGCAATGTTTGAAAACCATCATTGTTTGGCAGTCAGTATTTAGGTTTTTAGAGTAAACTTTGTATGGACATTGAAATTTTATTGGATAACAACATGCCAGAGCCCTGAGTAGTGAAGGAATTTTTGTCTTTGTTTTTTGCAGTGCTGGGACAGGAACCCAGAATCTCCTGCATGCCAATTAGTGTAAGCTGCTCTTCATGCCAGTGTTCTCTCCGAGCATTGTTTCCGGATGAGACTATTGCTCTATGTATATCTGCTGCTACCTTCAGATGTATGTGATGAACAGTAACATATAAATTCACTTAAAATTATTGAATTCATAAGTTTTTGTTCTTTCATGTAAATGTTTCCCACAAACATCTTAAAGAGCAGGTTCAAGCAGGTGAGAGTCCACTACCTCATCCCATTAGTGAAGGGTTCCCCACCTCAAGGAGGCTGTGCTCTCTGAAGCTGAAAAAAGATGTGAGGAGCTGCTCTGGGATCTGGAAATCAGTAGTCTGGGGTAAAGGATGCACTCACAGAATGACGTCCTGGACCCATCAGAATGTGCAGACCTCCACAAACCAGGAGGGGCATGAGAGGATATCCGGACAGGACCAGGGCAGCTCCAGCCCAGTCTCCATCCTCCCATCTTGGCAGACAATAAAGACAATTATTATACTCATTATTAACAAAACTGATGAGATCCTGGAACATGACAGCTCTCTCAGCTCTACACATGAAACTGGCTTGTGTAAGTGATGCTCTGAGACACACTGTCATTATGTGTGGGGGGTGAATGTGAGTCTCTGTGTGAGTGGGTGTGCGTGTGTCAGTGTGTCAGAGTATATGAGTGGGAGGTATGAGTATGTATGTGAGTGTATGAATGGGGTGTAAGTATAAGTGTGAGTGGGTGTGGATGTGAGTTGTGAGCATTAGTGGGGGTATATGTGTGAGTAGGTGTGAGTGGGTGTGTGAGAGTGTATGATAGGAGTGTGAGTGGGTGTGTGTGGGTGCGAGTTGTGATTGTGTGTGAGTGGGGGCTGTCTGTGTATGCGAAAGTGGCTGTGAGTGGGTATCTGAGAGTATATGATGGGGTGCGAGTGGATGGGTGTGGATGTGAGTTGTGAGTGGGGGCTGTATTGTGTGATTGTGTAAGTGTGTGAGTGGGTGTGAGTGTGGGTGTGTGTGATGGGGTGTGAGTGGGTATGGGTGTGAGTTGGGAGTGGGGGATGTGTGTGAGTGGGTGTGAGTGTATGAGAGGGGGATGTGAGTGTGTGTGGGTGAGTGTATGTGTTGCAGGTTGTGTATGAATGCAGGTGGGTGTATAGGGTTGTGGGTCTGTGAGTGTGTAAGTGTATGTGTGGATGTGAGTGTGTGAGAGCATAAGTGACATGCGGCAGGATCTCCAATGCTTTACAGAAAAAGAGGGCATGAAAAGGGGACAAAAAGCAGCGGCGTTTTAATCCAGACCCTTCCTCTTCCTGGGAGATTACTCTTTTCTTCTGCCCAGCTGGACACTGCAGGACTCAGTTCTATTAGCCAAAGAGTGAGGTCAAGACAATTTTTTTTTAGGACAAATCCTTATTTTTCTGAAAGTATATTTTTCTTATCAAGCAAAGAACCAGGTCCTTTCCTGGTGAATAGTTGGGGGAAACTCTGCACTTTGTGTCTGTCAGCAGTGTTCCCCCTTGTCTCTCACCTGAACTCCAAGAGCTCTCGAAAGGAACTACTACATACTGTGGACACTCTGCAGCCTCATTATGAGCCAGATGTCTATGGTTTACTTTTCTCAGTCTGTACTGCAAACCTTGTTATTGACAGTATTGTTTCTCTGTGTGCTTCTTATGTGAGAGCTTTCTCCAGGCCAAGAGAAAATCAGACCATAAGGGGTCACTTAAGCTCACCATTATCTGGCCAGGCCAATTTTGCTTTTTAAATAGGTTGTGTCCCCAGATTCTGGATCCTCTGGTACTACCAGCACATAGCGATGTGGTGTTCTTGTTCCTGAGACTCCAGAAGAGACTAGCTTGCTCAGTCTTTCTCTCAAAACACCATGTGTAAACTTCTTTTCTTCTTCGGGCCACATGTAAACAAACTGTCTGCACAAGGAGGCATCTCCCTGCTGCTCAGAACTGTGGTTTCTCTTTGCTGCCCCAAACCTCAGTTCTTTTCTTACACTCAGGCTCTTCCAGCCCACCCTGTCAGCCCAGGTGGGCTCCATTTCATACCAAGGTCCAGGCAGAGGCAGAACACCAATCCCTTCTCCATTGCTTGGCACTTCTTCCCTGCATCCAGGGCACTTGTGGAGCCCAGATTAGTGTTGAGGGGAGGTTGGTTTTAAATCTTATATTATGGAAAATGTATTTTTTTTTACAAAGGTAGAGCAAGCAGTTCTATGACGACACCCCCAACTCAGCTTCAACCATGATCAAGCCTTGACAAGTTATGTTCAGTGTTCTCAGATGTCGCATGTCCTTTTAGCTTCTGCTTTCCAAATGCTACCATGGTTAGAACAGAAAGACAGAGACAGAAAGAGGACTCTCCTTGTT